GAGGAGGAGGAGGAGGAGGAGGAGGAGGTGGGAGGGAGGTGGCGGGGAGGGGGAGGTCAGAGGACCAGGGCCCAGCGGGGGGCGGCGGCCGCCCCCCCCCCGCCCGCCCTCGGCAGGCGGACAAGGGCGGCGAGGACGGAGGGCACCCCGCCCTCCTCGGCTCCCGCTGTGCTCCCGCCCCTCCTCCTCCGCCTCCTCCCCTCCTCTTCCTCCTCTGTTCTTTTTCTCTGTTCTCTTTCTCTCTCCTCCTCCTCCCTCCTCTCCTCCTCCTCCTCCTCCCCCTCCTCCCTCCCTCCTCTCCTCCTTTCTCCTCCTTTTCCTCCTCCTCCTCCTCCTTCCTCCTCCTCCTCCTCATCCTCCTCCCTCCTCCCCCTCCTCCTCCTCCCCCTCCTCCTCCTCCTCCTCCTTTTCCTCCCGCCCTCCTCCTCCTCCTCCTCCTTCCTCTTTCTCCTCCTTTTCCTCCTCCTCCTCCTTCTCCTCCTCCTCCTCCTCGTCCACCTCCTTATCCTTCCCCTCCTCCTCCGCTTCCTTCTCCTGCTCTAGCGCCGCGGTGGCCCCTCCGCCTCCGAGGCCCTCTGGTGCCCACCCTTCGAACCCCCTCCGTTCGGTGTTCGATGCTTTGAGGCAGGCGGATAGGGCCCGCGCTTTTCAGGATAAGGTTCAACGTTTGTGCCGCGCGGCAGGTGCTGCGCAATCAGTCCCAAGCTCACTTGAAGTCAATGCTTCGGACGACTCGGATTAGTGCCGTCCAGCCCAGTGTGCACGCACGCATTGTAGATGCGCGTGTTCGGCTGACCAGATGATGCGTTAATCACTCTTTGGCGCGTTCGGTGGCCATCTCCGTGTGGTGAGAGCCCCATCGTGCCGCAACAAAGTGTGGCCTTTTTTTTCTGGCGGCACTGGGCTTTCTTATTTTCTAGCTGCAGCCTGTAAGCGCCACGTGCAGGCTGTTTGCAATCCCCCGAAGTGGGGAAAGTCACGGTGGATGGAAGCCCACGAGGAAACCACATCCTACTTCTGCTCTTTCCGTAGCCATTTCAGTTCAAGGCGCGGTGCTGTTGTTGTACAACCATTATCATGTTGTTTCATAGTTTTTCACAACCATCCTGTGGTGTTGGGTCGTTGTTCCCCACATCCAAAGTGGGGTTCTTGTTTTCCCTGCACACACTCCGCGCAGGATGTCTCCTCCTCCTCCCCCCTCTCTCTTTCTCCCTCTCTCTCTCTCTTTCTCTCCCCCCTTCGTACACTCACTCAATCACTCACGCGCCATGATCACTCACACTCACACACTCACTCACTCACCCACCCACCCACTCACGCACGCTATCATCACCATCTTCGTCAGCAGTCGCACACTCACTCCGTCACACACTCATCATCATCACCATCATCATCACCATCATCATCAGCATTCACTCACTCACTCACTCACTCACTCGCACTCCCATTCAGTCACCCACCTACCCACCCACTCATTCTCCCATCGTCGCCACCATCAGCATCATCCTCAGCCACCCACTCATTGACTCACCCGCTCACTCACGCCCACACTTGAGGAAGTATCCGGCGGGAGCCTCGTCTGTGAGCGAATCTCAATGGACCCCCAGGCGGGAGCCCCCTCCCTATGGGGCCCGCACTTCATGTTGGCAATCAGAGCGGGCCATCGGAACCTTGTAACTGTCGTCACGTTTGGGTTCTTCCGGCTTGAGCATGGAGGAAGTACCAGGCGGGAGCTTCGTTTGTCAATGAATTGCGAGGAAGTCTAAGGTGTGAGCCCCCCCCCCCTTATGGGGCCCGCAGCTCACGTTGGTAATCCGGGCGGGTCATCGGAACCTTGTAATCGTCATCGCTTTTGGGCTCTTCAGGCTTGAAAATGGCGGGAGCCTCGTCTGTGAGTAAAGTGCGAGGAAGTCTCAGGCGGGAGCTCCCTCCCTATGGGGCCCGCATTTCATGTAGGTAATCCGAACGGGTCACCGGAATCTTGTAATTGTCGTCATGTTTAGGTTCTTCGGGCTTGAAAATGGCGGGGCCTCGTCTGTGAGTGAATTGTGAGGAAGTCCCAGGCGGGAAGTCTCCGCACTTCATGTTGGTAATCCGACCGGGTCATCTTCGAACCTTATGATCACGCTCCTGGTCTGCACGTGCGAGGGCAAGCCCTTCCCACCAGGGGTCTGGTCCGCCTGGGAGAAGACGTTGGCCTCGGACAACCACGGCGCCCTGGACCCGCGGCACAGCACGAGAACTTGCGGCTCGGCTACGGCATGGGCATCTATTGGGAGACGCTGGCGAGGTGGATCAACACGCGCGCTCGTCGCGACGCGCGGCGTCTGGGCGTGCCCCTCGGTTTCTCGCAGGCCGTGGACGAGTGCAACGCAATTCAGGGCGATCCCGACGCGGGTCGGCGCCTGCTGAACGTTCGGAACATGCACACAACAGGCGACATCCAAGGCGTCTTACCGGCCCATGTCGGCATGGAGGTGCTGCTCACGGCAGCGCATGAAGAGCTGGAGAAGAAGTTGGGGCTCGCGCGGGAGCAGCGGGCCACGATCGCGTCCTTCGAGTTCCACCCCGATGACGATCAGCGTCGCGAGGGGTGTTCGCCAGGCCGGCTCTTTCGCTCTCGCTGCCAATCACAGGGGATCTGGTTGCAGGTGCGCGGCTTCAAGGAGTCCCCGATCTACAAGGAGGTCGCCGAGGTGCTGCTACAGGGCGCCGAAGGCGCCGACGACGACGGCGAGGCCGAGGCGCGGGCGCGGAGCTTGCTCATGTTCAGGCCCGGCGAGCAGGAACTCACACGCTCGGGGTTCGCCGCGACGCGCGCGGCCTACCTCACCTCCGCGCCGTCGCAGGGCCAAACGCTGCGCAAGGGCGTCGCCATCGACTGCGCGAAAGACGGGGGCGCTGGTCGCGCGGGCACGTCGGGCGACCAGTGATGGCTGCGTCCCTACGTCGTGTTCCCCACGCGTGCGGAACGTGCTGATCCTGCGGCCGCCGCCGCGAGAGTTCCTGGGGCGCGGGCCGCCGGCGCCCCCGCAGAAGGCGCCCCTGGCGTTCGACGTCAGAGCGGAGAGCTCAGCGGCAGAGGCGGAGCAACTCGCGGCAGAGCTGGGCTTCGTGCTGCCCCCCGCCTGAGCGCGGCGGCGCCCCGCTCGAAGCCCGCGGGGTCGCCCCGACGACTTGGTCTCGCCCGCCAGCGGCTCGCGGGGTTGCCCCGACGGCCTGGCTCGCGGGGTTGCCCCGACGGCTGCGGCGCAACGTGGCAGTTGGAGATTGCGCCCGCGCTGGCCGAGGCGGCGACGGCGCTGAGGAAAATCGGCGCGCGCGCTCATGCAGTAGAAAGGCAAGGAGGTGGCGGGGGGCGAAACAAAAAAAAGGCGAGGAGGGGGCAACGCAGGGAGCGGGAGGGGGGCCTGCGCCAGGGCGAGAAGGATAATGACTCTGAGCAAACAGTAAGGGCGCCTCACTTACCGCGAGGACGACGGTGAGGGTTATTTCCAGATTCGCCGCGTGGGGCCCTGCCGTCGGGATAATTTTGATGGGACAGCGCCCCGCGTTCTCCTTCCTTCCTTTTTCCCCTCCTCCCTCCTCGCCCTCCCTGCCTCTGCCCTCCGCATGTCTGTGCTTCGGCGCACCCAGTGTGTTTCGTGGCCCCGTAGGGAACTCCATCGAAGGTCCCAGTGGCGCAGCCTGCATGCGTCTCCCACACCCAGCACAACGCTTCGTGGCACCATCAGGAGTTCCACCGGAGGTCCCAGTGGCGCAGCCCGCATGCGTCTCCCACGCCCAGTGCAGCATTTAGTGGTTCCATAGGGAAGTCGACCTAGGGTCCTAGTGGCGTAGCCCGCATGCGTCTCCCACACCCGGCACAGCACTGCGTGGCCCCATGGGGGAGTCTATCTAAGGTCCCAGTGGCGTAGCCCGCACGCGTTTCCCACACCCAGTGCAGCGTTTCGTGGTTCCGTAGGGAACTCCACCAAATCCAGCGTCGCAGCCCGCATGCGTGTCCCATACCCAGTACAGCGCTTCGTGGCCCCATCGGGAAGTCTACCTCAGGTCCCAGTTGCGCAGCCTGCATACGTCTTCCCACCCAGTGCAGCGCTTCGTGGCCCCATATGGAAGTCCACTTAAGGTCCCAGTGGCGCAGCCGGCATGCGTCTCCAACACCCAGTACACCGCTTCGTGGCCTCATGGGAAGCTCCACCGAAGGTCCTAATTGTGCAGCCCACAAGCGTCTCCCCCACGCAGTACAGCGCTTCGTGGCTCCATACGGAGCCCCACCGAAGGTCGCAGTGGCGCAGCCCGCATGCGTGTCCCACACCCAGTACAGCGGTTCGTGGACCCGAAAGGAGGTCCACCGAGTGCCCCAGCGGCGCAGCCCGCATGCGTCTCCAACACGCAGTACAATGTTTCGCGGCCTCATATGGCGCCATCGGGAGCCCCACCTTGGGTCCCAGTGGCGCAGCCCGCATGCGTCTCCCCCACCCAGTGCAGCGCTTCGTGGCCCCATAGGAAGCTCAACGCAAGGTCCCCAAGGTCCCAGTGGCGCAGCCCGCATGCGTTTCCCCCACCCAGTATGGCGTTTCGTGGCCCTACAAGGGGGCTCCGCCGAAAACGATATCTACAACTGCGGTGTTCACAACTGCATATGATTGGGTCCTGCGCCAGGCTACTTTTTGATGGCGGCCGCAATCCCCCCGACGGGACCGCACTTGCTTTTCTAAGAGTTGCACGGGGCACTTCCCAGGAGCCTGTCACATATCCTGGGCAGCCATGTGGAAGGCCTCGCTCAAGCTGCCAGACGACTCGGGCGGCAAGGGCTATTCTCAGGTGCCCACACTAAGAAGTTGGTTGCTTTGTACACGACGCTCAACACGGTGCGACGCTTGATGCTCATCGTTTTTTCGGCAGTGCTCGCAAACATTCAAGCTCGCAGGCCCCGTGCTGCACATATGCAGGGTCAGCTACCTCGTGATGAGCTTCATGGCGAGGTGCAGTCTTGTGACGGACAATCGCATGGTCAGCTGCAGCCTCATGGTGGTGTTCCACGGCGGAGTCCTCCTGCAGGATGATGCCCAGCATCTGCATGGCGAATTGCATTGTGGCTCTCACGCCTGAGTTAATAAGCCAGCTGGAATTCTACCACGCCAGGATGTGCTTCGCCCTCCCGAGCAGCACCACAATGCGACTCACAGCGAAGATATCGAGCACTCCGCCGATATTAAGTACACCGGCTCTCCTCGGAGCCAGACACCGCCTACGATGAGGCCACCGACGTCAACTCGCTGCCGCCCTGCGCCAGGTAGTGTGCCGCGGAGCGCCATGCTGATTTGCATTGTGGTGCACGCGCTTGCGTTCATAAGCCTAGTGGTGTTCAGCAGCGCAAGGGTGTTCTGTAGTCTGCGCAGCAGCTCCGCGGTCAGACCCGCAGCAACGTCATCGAGAGCACCTTCGATACCGAGTGCGGCAACAGCTCCAGCGAGCACGACTTCTACTCGACGGGGTCGGGCTCTGCCTACGCCGAGGCCTTCGACCTCAACATGTTGCCGCTTCACAGCAAGGATTGCGCCGCGCAACCTTGTGGTGCACATTCGTGTGGGGTGTTCTGCAGTTGCCAGAACAGGACGTAGCGTCGTCGTCGAGAGCACCTCCGACACCAAATGCGACGACACCAACGAGTACGCCTTCTCTTCCACGGGTATAGGTGTTGCCTTCGAGGGGTCCCTCGACTTCAACCCGCTGCCACCCTACAACAGGAAATGACTTGGGCAGTCAGTCTCGTTCACCATCCTCGCGGGCCACACGAACCAGAGCTACAACTGGAAGGGAGGCGTGGCGCTAGGCCCAACTCCCGACATCAAGCGAGTTATGGTCAAGCTCGCAGAGACTGGCAAGGTCGCGTATCAAAGTGAAGCTGGCCAGCCTGAAGAAATGTCTCTCCAGCGCCAGTTCGGACCGTTGCTCAACATGCAACACGTTCATCGACCTGCAGGACATCCCGAGCTGTGATTGCCCTTCCTCCTGGGTGTGGCAGTAGTGCGATCTGAATGCCATCTTCCATATCCACTTGTCCTCCATCGACGTGCTCTCGCACGGATCGTTGACGTGGACGATTGTTATGTTCCTTTCCTTTCATTTCCCTTCCCTTCCCTTCCCTTCCCTTCCCTTCCTTTCCTTTCCTTTCCTTTCCTTTCCTTTCCTTTCCTTTCCTTTCCTTTCCTTTCCTTTCCTTTCCTCCTCCTCCTGCACGTCCCCGAGTACGAGGCCCCGCAGTTGCCCACTCCGTCGTTGAAGGCGCTCGCTGGGGCCCTCCGTCGGGCAAAGCACTCGGCGCCCGGCCCCGACCGACCGCCTGCCTCGGCGTGGCTGCCGGACGGGCGAGTTCTGCAGGTGCTCTGCTCGGCGATGGTGGGCCTCCTTTGCCCGGGCGCGCGCCGCCGTGGGCCCTCAGCTTTCGGAGCCCAGCATGCGTGCCGAAGGGCGACGAGCGCGCCGACGCGGCGGACGGTCGTCAGGGGGGCTGGGCAGGTGCGCTCCCTGACTGTGAAGACCACCGCCAGCAAGGCCAGGGCGACTGCCGTGAACCACGAGCTGGCGGCGGTCATCGCCGAGAGGGCGCACCCCGTCCAGCAGGGGCCCGCAAAGGCGAGGAATTTCTTGGAGCACCTTCTGGCTCATGGAGCATGTGGCGGGGCTGCGGGCCACAACGGTGAGAGGCTGCCTGTATTCGTGTCGTTCGACTTCAAGGCAGCGTTCCCTTCGCTGTCCCGGTAGTTTCTCCGCCGAGGGCTCCTGAAACATAGGATCCCAGAGGGCTGCCTAGTATTCGTGGATGCAGTCCACGCCTCCTTTCTTACCCACGTCAATTCTGGCCCCCGTGCCCCCTATCTTCTTTCTGACCTCCGGAGTTGCCCAGGGTTGTCCCCTCCCTGGTACCTATTGGGCATTTGCCATGGAGCCATTCCTGAGGCACCTTGAGGCGCAGACGGCCCAGATCCAGCACCTCCAACATGTGCCGCCGCTCAACGGCGCCTGTGCCGACAATGTGGGCTCCCCCCCCCGTTCGTGACCTCTCCCTCCTGGTGCCTCCTTCCATCTGAGCTGAAAGCACTGGGGCAGGGTTTCACGGAAGCCAGTGCTTTCCATATGCGCCAGTTGCTCCAAGTTCTCGTCCCAGTGTGGGGCTTTTTCAAGATAGCCTTTATGCGCCCTCTACCTGGGGACTCTGGTCGGTCCCGATGCTGGCTTGGACGACCAGTGGACTGCGGCGATGTGAGCATGAAGAAAAAGGACCAAGGAAACTTCCTTTACGAGGGCTCCCGCGGAGGCCAGTTGTAGGATCTATAACATGGGGATCCTGCCAATGGGCCGCTATCTCTCCCAACTCTTCCCTCCCCCCGCTGCTGTGCTCTCTGTTGAGCGTCACGTCCTCCACCGCCTCCTGCGTTTCCCTCCCAACTCCTTCGCTTTAGCTGAACTTCTGAGCATCGGAACCTGGCTCCCCTCTGCCACCCCGTTGCCGCTCCGCACGACCGCTGCCGCAGCGGCATGGCGGACAGCGCACCACATTATGGAGATGGGGCCAGTGGATGGGTGGAGGGGACGCAGTGACGCAGTTGCACGAACATGCAGGAGGAGGAGGAGGAGGAGGAGGAGGAGGAGGAGGAGGGGCAGGAGGAGGAGGAGGA